CTGATGGACATTATACATCCATAGTGTATTATTTGCTTACTGTTAACATTCTACAATTATTGTAACTACTAGTTACACTTGCAATCCGTTGAAGGAAGAACAATAAGCAAAATTTTATGACTATATATGTTTACGTATACAATATGTATTGTAAGTTATTCAGTATATCTATAGATTTGTTATAGTGGAGACCAGAGGATAAGGAACTAGTAGATTGATAATTTAATACATAATAACTAGACTGCGGATCTTTATGCATTTATAGGAAATTTGAATGTGCAAGAACCTACAAAATGCAAACAATATGCGAGATTATAAAAAAGATTGAAAGTAATGTTCATGTTATAATATTTATAGAATAAAATAAATTCCTATTTAGGTTAAATTTTTGTAGGCACGTTCGCGAAGATTTTATTTTGCATAAAGATCCGTAGTCTAATAATAACAAAACAACAAATAAATATTCCCACTTCAACTAGACTTCCAAAACAAGTAAATAATAAATGATTGAATACAAAGGGAGTGAATTAATTTCTACGCCTAATAGTTTCTCGCCCAAATTGAGTTTGTACGCGCGTACTTGCAAACAGAACACCTAAACATAGTCATCGAATCGTCTAATCAAGTCTAATGGATGGAAATATAACGTGTCCGCGGAAATACCACTTATGTCCCTGGCGTACGTTCGAAGATAGCCGTCTACATAATCTGCACGCACGTTCGTAAATTATTCATGAGACTACGTAGGTGCGGAGAACGTTTGAACAGCGAGTCTATAGTTAGACGCATCGACGAAGCAGCCAATAGCCTCGGAAACGTAATTATATCCATCCGTGAATCACATAAATGTTTACACGTGTACTACAAACCGTAACTCGAGATAAATAACTTGTTCTCTCTGTCCTTGGGGGAGGAAACCCCTACGATAACCTACTCTGGAAATGAGGATGCACTGGGAATGTCAACAATGTTTGCTACGACGGAAACCCAGATTTTTATTTTCTTCTGTTAGATCATGGTGTAAGAAAGATATTATTAATATTAATATCTTTCTTACGCCGTGTGTTAGATATAAGTTTCATGTACTTTTTGTTAGATATAAGTATCATGTACTTTTGTTTATTTTTGTTTTTTGGCGCCCGCGGTTGTGGCGACCTCGTATGTGTCGTCTTTCGGCGCCACCTACGTTCTTCACTTGTTTCTAAGTATAATTTTTACTATTTAGGCTAATCCAAATATATCTCTTATAGTATACAAGTTTTAATCTTTTAAATAACGTAAGCAACATCTTTTTCAGTCGCGGGGTAAAAAGGATCCAGGTCTAAAAAGAACATTCTTTTTATGGAGGAATGTTTAAAAGACATTTCCAAATTTTTAGTAAGGGCCAGGGATTGTGCGACCACCCACTGAAACCCTCATGATGATCTACTAGTTTTGGGCCCCCCTAGGAATGTCAATAATTTTCGGCGCCCCCTAACATTTTTCTGTAACATTTCAATCATCGTGTTATCGAAATTTATATTTAGTTTTTTAATACTCGTGTATATTAATTCCTTATTTCGAGTTATGTCATCTCCTACCAAGGGAGCTCATGAATCTCCAAGCCTCCTACAATGTATCCGTTACTGCATCTTCTTGTCTCGCTGCAAATTTTTTGTTGCAATAATTGCTTGAAAATTAACACATTGCGAGAGGAAATCGTCGACGGAAATTCCGCGAATACGAGTAACAAATCAAAACGAAAAAAAAAAATCATACGGTTATCGCAATTATTGGATCGCGTCATTCTTCCGTCGTCATCGTCTTAAAAGCTGAGAACGATCGGATTGGCTGAACAGGTATGCGTAACGTTCGTTTACGAATCGTCTGTTGTTACACGGTTAAATACGACGACAAATCGTTTATTAAAACTGTACAATTTATATACTCTAAAGCTGCGTTTTTAAAGTAGAGGGTTAGAGTCACGCGAGAGTCGTCGCCATTGTTATTCGCGATCGAAAGTAACGAGGGAAAGGGATGAACAGAAGGAATTATCAAGCTACAAATTCTGAACGTGTCGTGTCGAAGCTTACAAACGTATAAATCACATAAATTTCGTTATGGACGATCACAGATGAAGTTTCGTTTCCCACTTGGAAGGAAATATGCCGACTGATTCCGCAGCGTTCGCCGCAATCTCGATGATTTTCTTTGGGGGAAGGCAATTTATTTTATTTTGCCCGCAGACACTTTGTATGTGCCCTTTCCGGAGGAATCCATGTTGGCAGCGCTGCTGCTGTAGACACCCTTGGCACCGTCCACGGTTCCGCTCTTGCTCTCGCCCTCCTCGACGTCACCCATACGGGAGAAGAGGCTGAATTAACCAAAATCACGAGATCAGATGACGTAAAATATTTTTGCAACTAATTAAAAAACAGTGTCTTTAAGACCAGTAAAATTGATCATGGTAGAGAAGTATAGAGACAAACTAGTACCACTAATATTGGCAATAATGACGCTAGGTTTACAAAAATATCTTATCAGATTTCTATTATTGGGTTGTCTGGAAAGTCCACGTCGTTTTTTGGTAGGTGGTACAGGTCTGAATATATCGAAGTGGTTGAAAACAAATAATAATAATAACAAATAATATGCATACATCCTTTAAAAGGTAGAAAGGTTGTGGAACAAAATGGCACCTATGTAATTCAATAAATATATATTAACATTCAAACGTGTTTTCGAATGTTTCTTAGAAATTGCCACGAACTTTCTGGACAACCTAATACTGAACTCTTTCCACCCTAGCGTTAAATTGATATACTCCTGGCGTCAACAACCTTTCTATATAAAAATCTTAGTATTTCAAGTGTACGTAGTTGAAAACCTACTCGACTCCGTGGCCTCCTGGACCTCCATAACCGTCATAACCGCCATGTCCGCCGAGTCCTTCAGATCCAGCATTGGCATTTGCATTTGCGATCGCACTAGCGCCTGCACCAGCACGAGCATTGGAGCTTGCACTCGCGCTAGCGAAAGCGTTCGCATTTGCATTCGCGTTTGCGTTCGCACTCGCAGAAGCGCTAGATCCTGCGTATCCACCTTTGCAGCCAGGACCGCCAGAGCAACCAGGAGCACCAGCGCCACCTCCAGAGCCTCCGTATCCACCAGCGCCACCTCCAGAGCCTCCGTATCCACCAGCTCCGCCACCTGCGCCTCCGTATCCACCAGCTCCGCCACCTCCAGCGCCTCCGTATCCACCTCCAGCACCACCACGTCCACCACCACCACCACCTGCGCCACCGTAACCGCCTGCTCCAGCGCCACCGCCTCCATAACCTCCAGCTCCAGCGCCACCGCCTCCATAACCTCCAGCTCCACCTCCTGCGCCAGATCCTCCATAACCTCCAGCTCCACCTCCTGCGCCAGATCCTCCATATCCTCCAGCTCCACCTCCTGCGCCAGATCCTCCATATCCTCCAGCACCACCTCCAGCGCCAGATCCTCCGTAACCTCCAGCGCCACCGTGTCCACCACCAGCACCTCCTCCGTGGCCACCTCCAGTGCCACTTCCACCTCCATAACCACCAGCGGTACCGTATCCTCCAGTCTTGGTCACACCGCCTGATCCTGCTGAAAGCAAATAAATGAATTTTTATAGATGGTGTTCTGGAGTAAGGTGTATCAAGGCGTCCCTTCACCAACTTTGGGATACGTGGTACTTTTTATAATAAGTTAATAAGTAATAAGGAAATGTAATGAGTTCCCTGAAGTTGTCAAGTTACAGCGTCTCTAAGTATAGAGACGATGTAATACGAATTTTGTTAACGAGCCCATTACTCGGTATTTCTATGTGTTAATGTTTCTAAACGTGCCCTGTGGGATTATCTGTTCCGACTAGTCCTGATGATATTTTTTCAATTCATTGAAACGTTAAAAAATATACAAACTTAAATTCCCACTATGTGAACAATGGTGGGAAAATAATTCGTGTCGTTGTATGGAAGGAGAAGTTTGTTGTTAGATGAAGGAATTATTGTAACATAAATTAAAGGAAAAGTGTTCTTGTTGACAATCAGCATAGCAGTCTCACCTCCGCCACCTCGTCCTCCGCCAGCGCCACCTCCAGCGCCGGATCCTCCATATCCTCCAGCACCACCTCCAGCGCCGGATCCTCCATATCCTCCAGCACCACCTCCAGCACCACCTCCTGCGCCAGATCCTCCGTAACCTCCAGCGCCACCTCCGGCGCCAGATCCACCATAACCTCCAGCGCCACCTCCGGCGCCAGATCCTCCATAGCCTCCAGCGCCACCTCCGGCGCCAGATCCACCATATCCTCCTGCGCCACCAGCTCCACTTCCTAGTCCACCTCCGTGTCCACTTCCGCCTCCAAGGCCACCTCCATGTCCACTTCCACCTCCGAGTCCGCCTCCAGAACCTCCACTGCCACCACAGCCTCCAGGTCCACAACCACCTCCATGTCCTCCTGCACTTCCATGTCCTCCTGCTCCTCCACTTCCGCCACCAAGACCGCCTCCGCTTCCACCACCATGGCCACCTCCGTTTCCACCACCAAGTCCACCTCCACAAATTCCTACAGATCCACAACCACCTCCATGTCCTCCTGCGCCTCCGCTTCCGCCACCAAGGCCACCTCCGCCTCCGAGGCCACCTCCTCCTCCAAGCCCTCCTCCAAGTCCGTCTCCACTTCCGCCACCCTGTCCACCTCCTTTACCACCTCCAAAACCTCCGCCGCTACCGTAACCACCTCCTCCGCCACCTCCGCCTCCACCACCTCCGCCGCCACCTCCACCGAATCCTCCTCCAAATCCGCCGCCAAATCCACCTCCTAATCCACCTCCCAATCCACCTAATCCTCCGAAAGCCAGAGACTTCGCGAATCTCTCTGGCCCATCATGAAACGCGTATGCGTTGCGCTTGGCTCTGGTCTCCGCATCTAAACAATCACAGTTGTATGAGTTATATTATTGTCAAACGATATAGGTAAATAGTAAACTTAATAAAATATTGTTTTCTTGCAACGCGTGAGTAAAATAAGTATCAAGCACTCAGTATGGATCATCGTTACAAAATATTTACGATCGGTGCAATTTTTATTCGTAGAGAGTTTGAGTTATCTCGGATCGAAGATCAAAGACACTCGCCTAACAGAGACACTAACGGAAAAACGAAATGGACAAAGGACTTCTTACGATAGTAAACGTGAAACTTACAAATTAAGTTACAGTTTAATAAAATTATATATGAATAATTCTTTTTTTTTAGTGGAAGATTGATGAAATTTGTCACAACTATTTATTGATCCAACATATGAACCGTGGCATATTTTATTATTGCCTTTTCATTTTAAGGGAGAAGCCAACCCTCCTATAAGACATTTATTTTTTCATATACAATTCTTCGATTGAAAAAGATATTCTAATAATACAGTCAATAATTTTTCAATAATTCTTCAAACAAGCTTTAAACAACTGACGTTTCAAAAATTTTGATTGAATAATTAAGTACATACTTATCGAAAAAAAAATTTAATCTTCTGCTATGTACATATATTCAAATTTCTCCAAAAATTAATAGGAACATACGTTTCAAAAGCTGAACGACTTTCGAATAAAAATTGAATAGGAAGAATAAATATTTCTATAATTTACAACCCCTCCTGGGTGTCTATGGAGACCAGATTAGTAACAACTGTCGTAAAGGGTGCAGAGGAATAGAAATAGAAAATACCTTGAGCGTGGATGCCGAGGATCAGCAGGGCGCACAGCCCGATCGTCCGATACCGCCACATGATATGTCACGAAATCGATTCTTCTACTCTGCTAGTTTCCCGAGTCGCTCATCTTTTATATCGTCCCTCCCACTCGCAATTCCCACGGTTCTTCCTGAAAGCACCGCCGCTTCTTCGAATGCAGATCTAAGCGTGGAACATCCAACGGGGGCAGAAAACGCATTAGCCAAGGTTAAGGTAACCGACAACGGGACGTGTGGTTCGTCAGATCGACAAATAACCTCGATCAGACTTTGGCGAAATTTTATTCTACTATCTTTAACACGTTCACTGGCAGACTAATACTCTTGAAAATTTCTACTGCGATTTAATTTTGTTTACAGACTTTTGGAAACTGCGTAATGAAACATTTATTTTGGTATTTAGTTTTGTAACTTCATCGAAATTCAAGTATTTCATTTAAATTCATTTTCTATGACACTTAACTTTCAGAATTAATCATTTTCGTTTTTCAGTGAAAAGCACTGTCGCCCATATATGGGTGACGTGGCGATCAACGTGTTAATTTGATTTCAGAAAACCTTTCCATCGAATCTGTCAAAACAAGGACAATGTTCACGAATTTTTTCCGAGAAAAGTATACAACATGAAAAGTAAACAAAGTGTTCGATATTTACTCGCAGAGTATTTGAAAGTAAAATAAATTGTTTTTATTGTTTTCCGAATAGTGAATTTCATAGATGACACTTAGTAAACAGGTGCAAATGAGAAAATCGTAAATATCACCTTTCTTTTTCACACTTTTGATGGAAGGGTCCCCTTAACAATCATACGTTTCGGCAAACAATATTCATTTAATGAAGAAATAAAAAATAAATATAATATACGAAACAGTATCAATATAAAATAATGATATCTTTAAAATATTTTATCTAGATACAAATTATTACTCAACTTGGTTGTCAATTATCATTTGTTAGTACCTCTTCTGCGAACCGATCGCCTTCAGCAATTCAGACGTCGTTGAACTTGAGGATCGAGTTCGATGTCGAAATCGATCGTAAAAAAGTTAGTAGAAATTGTAATAACACAGTACCTAACCCTTTTTGCTGAGAACTTTACTTATGATTACGATTAATTACGGTGAAAATACCCAACTCAGTTAAGGTTAGCTTATCATACATCAATTCACGACTAAAAAAATAAAAAAAAGATCAGGGGTCGTGATACAGTGTTTAGTTGACACTATTTGTTGAATAAACCGTTGGGGAATTCTCCTGATTCCATGGAAGCATAGAAAATCCAACAGATAATAATTGGTAAAACCGACCAAACGCCAGCCAATTGCGTCATTGGATATTTCGCGCATGGCACTGTTTTTTCGAATAATTATTACGCTGATCGATCGTTCTCAGCGACGCAAAAAAATTTTTGAAGATCGATAAGACGAGGTTCGTTGTGTAACCGCGATCTTCCATCGATCGCAAGCCTAACCAATATCTGTCGCTGCTATTTCTAGTAGCACTTTGGTAAAAGAAACTAACGCAAGAATGAAAAATCGCAGATAACCCCTTCGACGATTTGTCTCTTAGACATTGACCCGAAACGAAATTTTATCAATCGTACAGAACTGCGATTATACAATAATTTACTCGATGCATTCTATCGTTTTCTACCGACTGGAATTACGATCAAGGTTAAGTCGCAACTTGTAACAAGAAAATGGGAAAAAGAGCACGGTGCCCTTGCGCAGGAGTTGGGCAAAAGCCTAGGCTTCGAATAAATCTGAAGTGTGCCGATATGTTTGTCTCGTTTCCTCTTTTGAACATTTTCCAAAGAAGGAAACGAGACAAACTTCAGATTTATTCGAAGGCTAGGGTTTTGCCCGTCTCTGCTTCCTTTCGTTTATTATAGTTACATATGATTTTATGTCTACCGTGAATACAGTAAATAATAATAAACGAAGCCTGTCGTATTCCATTAATTCCTCAGGCGTGAAAATAACAATGCACGGTCCTGATCACCGAAACACCGCGATTTTATCATTTTTCAGTTAAATACAATTATACACAATTAGATTCCTCGATTCACTCGGTACAAGGATGTTTGCATTACATACTCGTTTGACCGGCTTCGTTTATGGTATTTAATATGAACAGAATTATCTACCGTCGATCACTTACGGTGATACCGAGGAAACGATTAACGGATATCACTCGCGATCACAGATGATTCTATTACGGGTATTTCCAACGTTATTTTCATACGGCCATTAGAAATGAAAAAATAATCCTCGAGGTGGTGAGTCATTTTTATACAATTTTTTTGTTAGTATTTTTTAAAATCGCGAGGAAGAAAAACACGATCGATTGCTTGTGTAGATATGCAACAAAGAGCAGGGGCTTGTTAAACTCATTAGCAGAAACTCATAAACTCTGAAAAAGGCTTTGAATACATTATTAACCAGCTTGTTTCGTTCTCACGACTAATACCGAAAGAATTCACGAGGAACGCGTTTGTATCTCGCCGTGAAGGTCAAGAGTGATTATCAAGAATTTTTGGTTAATTGCAGTTTACTAATTGACGAGACGCTATGATTACAATTATTGAAATTAAAATTATAAATTTCTAAGTTTGATTGTATAAAAAGAAATGTAATGAATATTCTCTTGTATATCCTGACATGGAAGTTTATAATTTTAATAATTGTAACAATTACACGCTTGTACGAGATGGTGGTCTGATTATCTTAGAATTCTGTATATTAAAAATTAATATTTCTGCATTGAAACGTTTAACAAATAAATAAACGATGCTTGTCAGGATTATACGTGTTATAATATTTATTTTGACATATACCTTTTGATACTTTCTAGTATTTTGGCATCCAGTTGCTTGAGTACTGTTAATATATTCAATATTGATTCACGTTCGCTGTAACAAAGAATTGGAAGTATTGATGTACGTTTATTGCAGAATATCGATACATAATGTTACATAACAACGTATGCTTCGCGCGTACATTATAAAACGCGGTTTTTATTGGGAAAATGATACAATCCTTTTTATTTTGAGATAAACGTACGAGTTTGGCAATATTTGCGAACGGAGCGAGATGCGTGCAGTAAATTAACTATCAACCGTCAACAGAAACACGCTTCCAGCAAAGATAGGCAAAATTCTTATCTAAATAAAAATCTCGAATAACAAATATAAAATAAACAATTTCCAAATGATTACTAATTCATTATAAAATAAAATAGAATTAACGTCGTACGAGTAAACATTGATTAGAACAGCTCACTCGAATAAACAATGTGAATAAATCACTACACGGTATTCCCATTCGTCATGTATTATTTAATCAAATTTTGCCCATCTCTAATTTAAAAAAAAAAAAAAGAAAATAAATCTGAACGAACGCTACGCGGCTGAAGCTCGCCCTTGAGTACGATTCTTCGAGTATAAAACTAATTCTTTTCTCTTATTTGTTTTTTGTATATATATAATATATATGTATACAGATATGTCTATATATATATATTAATTAAATTCTATGTTATAACAAAACAATCGTAGTAACTAAAAAACAGATAACCATTAAGTTACACTGACTGTTCCCCTTCTTTTTTTTTTTATTCTCTTCGGTGAATCGTTCACGTGGATATGTGTGTATTCGCGTTTAGATTAGTACGCAGATTCTCTCGCTATAAATACATTCGTTACAACAGACGTTTAAACGCATCGTAGAATCAACATCGTGTAGTAAAATTCGCGGTTGGCCAGTCTTCGCCAATCGGGTCGTGTATTTGTTTCGAAAGAGCCGCGGGTAGTACGTAACAAAGAAGAATCGTAAAATCATTAAATTATTACTAATAATTGAATCTATCTATATCTATCTACCTATATATATATTTAATTATTAATCAATTATTTAATAACGAGAAGAAATACCACTACGCTAACGAAATTATTGTCTTTTCTTCCAAGACGTGTGGGATTTATAAAGAAATCTCATTTTATAAAATTGGTCCAAGGTTTTACGCTAATGTCTCAATTTCACCGCCATCGATGCGATACGGCCTTGCCGTTTCGATGAATCTTTATCGGGACTCAAATATGTATACGTACTTGAGTTACGATTCATCAGATTCGTGTAAATTTGAAGTAAATGCGAAAATACGCTTAGATCTAAATAATTCTATTTACATACCAATTATATCACTCTTATCACGCGTATCGTTGTGCGCGCGTCAGTCATCAAAGTGCAAGGAAAACGTGATAACGATTCCGGCTTGTTTTGATACGTCGAAATTTCTTTGAACAAACAGGCTCAGGGAAACGAGCACAAGGTAAATGCATCTTTCCGTTGAAGACTTTTCTAACGAACATTTCACAAGCAACAATAAACAGTCTTGATTTTTTCCCCTTGATATACGATTTCCATTTTGATTGTCGGTAACAATAATTTTGATCGTAGAAAAATTTGATTTCAGTCCTCGAGTAAGGCCGCGATGTTTTCATTAAATTTAACTCGTAACACGAGTCATGTCCGATGACGTTTGAGACATCTCGATTCAATACTAAGCTAGATAATCAAAGACGTCTCGGATACCCGTTAATATCCTTCCTTTCCATTAAAGCTGACCGACACGTGGCTCTGCTGCGTCGCGCTTCGAATCACCTCGATCCACCTAGAACATTATTATCATTGATATTGGGGAGGAATGTTAGGCAAACGATATAATAATATATATAGCGAAAATAAAGAAATTCTGAAGCTAGTTGCCGCAATCTTTTATCCTGTCTTTGATTTTTGGTTGAATTATCCTCACCTCCCGAAGGTGTAATCGCTTTCAGCGCGGAAAAAATAAACGTGATTCTTAAACTGCAATTTGAACACGAAGTCCTTGCTGATCCCATCTTTTTCCGACGGTGTAGTGACCGTGTACCCTAACAACGGTAAACTGGCCAATGGGAAGTCGTCCTGGTGAGATTTGTAAAAGAACAGGCAGAAGTTCGTGAATACGACCCAGAGCTTTTGCCAACCGTTACTGTTTTTGAATTTCCGTAACAGAAATCCACTGAGTTGGTTCTGGAACAACGTAAACCTCAAGATAAACAATGCTACTAGTTATTAGTTTCTGATTATCGAATCTGAATTTTACAAGGGGACATTCTATCTTACTCTTCGGGATACGTACTTGAAAAGCTCGCAATTGATCGCTGTAACTAATACTGGTGTTTCGGTGCCAGCACACGTGTACGGTCGTGTTGCTTCGTTGAGAAGCTTTGGCACCTCCGCAACTTCCCCTGTCCCCGTCTAATCCGATACCGTCACCCACCTCGTCGGCTGAGCCTAAAACTATCGATGAAGATACAGATAAAGACTACAACGTGACAACGTCGATAAAAACGATAATGTAGATGAGGTCGATAGAGATGGTAAATTGATAACACTTACTGCAGGACTGCACGTTCAAGTACGGCATTTTTGGATCCGCGTCAGCTTGCGTGATAGCCATATGGAGCTCCTCCAACCATCTCTCCTTTTCTTCCTCGTTGCTCGCTGCGACGGTCAACGACCTGCGTAAACGTGACACGAATTATATGCAACGAGAACGTGTACCTTGAAAATTGTTCCGATGAACAGAACCAAAAGTACCCGCAACGAGACGACAAAGGAAGAAAGTTTCAACGGTCAATTGCTCGTCAGCGAAATGTCCACTGATCTGTCTTAGAGCGCATTCACGATCGACAGAATGGCTCGAGCTAACACGTCACGGCCAATTGACCTCTCAATGGCGATACAGACTGTCTTTTTAACACCTCATTAGGCTCAATAAGTTACACCGCACTCACTGATTTCCTTGGGCGTCGATTACGAACGCGAAGTCCGATCCAGTTTTGTTATCGCTCTCTCGAATTTTCATCCCCTTCAACGGTAACTGACCATGAACACGGAAACACTGCGTTGGCTGCTGCGTACGGAATGTGTACAATAATACGTCCGAAAACTAGAAAGTAATTTAACGATAATTAACGGCTGGAACGTTTAAATGATTATCGATTGCGTAAACTCAGCAGACATACCAGGAAAAACATTCTCTGCTGAAAACCTTTACGGCTATACTTCTGCAAGCAGCCTTGCCTAATGAATCTGCGACCTTCCTGAACCAGGTTGTCGAAACCACTGATGTCTCTCTGCATCTCGCATAATTGGACCAAATTCTCCTATATTGCATAGAGGATGTTAACGTCTTGTAAATCGGTACTGTGTGGAATTGGTCATTCCTATCTTAACACTTTATCTATCTAGCTATTTAGGAAGGGTCTAGACTTAGCAGAGGATTTTGTACATCAGTATATGTTAATCTAGGGTGACGTTAACTTCTGCATACTGTTATTAGATATACGAAAAGCATTATACAAGTGAACAGCTAAAATCACAGTCAGTAGGTAGCTTGATATAGTCTTAAGAAGATATTAAAAACGGAGTTATTTACCGCCTGATTAATTATGCTAAGTCCTTCGAGCAATGTTTCTCCTAATCGATCTCTGGCTGCCAGACAATCTTCGAAGTCCGTGTGATCTTTCGGATAATGATCTAATAATCCTAAAATGCCAGAGAACAGTTAATACGCGTACGGACCATAAGGCAACGTAGACTTCTATGCAGAGGAGAAACAATTGACGTACTATCGATAATACTGTTGTAGTGCAATAATCGTTGCAGCGGTTTCAATAGGAATGAAGTTAACGGCAGATAACAATGCTTCTGAGACTCGAAATCCCGGCAGAGTTGATCGAAGCGTCGGGACGTCCTCGTGTAATATTCCATCTTCTCGAGGACGGGTATTAAATTCTCCAGATATTGATCGTAAAGCGGCAGCACGTTCAGTAAGGTGTTGTAAAGAAAATCACCGATGTTGTGCCTAGCGTTGCTCTCCCACCGCGCCAGCCTCGACTCCATTTCTTGAAGGCAAGGCCCGTGGACGTCCGCTAAAAGCTCGATCAGCGAAACCACCGCTTCGCCCTCCAATTCCGCTGCTTCTCGAGATACCTCCTCCCTGAACCACTGCAGAGCACAAATGGGACATGCAATTAACGCAGCAATTTCTCTACCTCGCCACCTTGGGCTAGAGCTATCAATTCGAGTATCGGATACAGACAGAAATTTCACGGGCGCTGGATGGGTATACCCGAAGAGATTGCCTCTGGATCGATTCGAATTCAAGGATTTCGATCAGAATTTTAACAGATGGTTATTTCGGTATCGACGACATTTTTGGTCGTACGAACTAATGGTTGATAGCGTTAGAACTCTTTCGCACGACGATACGCGTATGCAGAATACCGATGGTACACACAATGTTATGGAAGCGTTCAGACGGCGATTCTCGCGAGATACAGTCGCGATACTGATTTTCGGTATCCGCGGTTGGTCAGCCGCCGGCAACTTTTTCTGCGTCGAGGTGACCGACGAAACATTGAAATACGAGGGCCGTCCAGAAAGTAAGTTTAACGATGTTGGCGCTGGTCTTGGTGAGAAGGTAGAACTACAAAATTTTAAGAACATGTTCTCTCATTTATTTTGATCAGTTTCGTGTGTCGTAGACTCTGGTCGGTCGATTGTCGCGTGTTTTGTAACATTTTGTAATGGCAATTCCGTTAAAATTTGCGTCCAAGTGTGAACCGCGTAGTATACTACGTTTTTTTACCGCTAAAAACTTCGCAGCCACAGAAATTTATCGAGAATTATGTTCTGTTTACGGCGATTAATGCGCGAGCCTGCAGATGGTTACGCGTTGGCGAACAGCGTTCTTAAATGGTCGCGGAGAGTTGCACGATGAAGAACGCGAAGGACGACCAACCAGCGGACGCAAAGTGGACGAAATCATTACGCCTTGGGAATTCAAAAGCTTGTTACTCGTTATACGAAATGTATTGAAAGATGTGGCGATGTGACGTAGAAAAATAAAAAATTGTCTGAAAATTTTAAAAATGACCTTGTTTTTGTGTTTCGACCACTCTTTCGCAGCGTAATTAGACCGTTAAACTTACTTTCTGAACGATCATCGTAGATGCGAGAATTCACACGACGCTACGCAATATCGTAGAATTCGTTCGCATTTCTCATAAAAAAATTTTAGACACCGATAATAATTGAAGAATTTACACGGATCGTTACAAAGTTCTTCGAATAAAATATGAAAAGCTCCCTTTTCTTCTCATATATTATTAATGGGATGAACCCAATATTTTCTCTTAACTTTTCTCCATTTAGTAGCTTTTTTATGTAGAAATCAAATGGATAAAGCTTCGATCTCATCCATTATTTCAGAAAAGTTTTCACTAACTAAGAACGCGTGTTTCTCAAACGAGAAGATATGTTTAACTGAAAAACAAATGATCAACATCGAGCTACGAAATTATTAGGTCGAGTCATATGTAACTTCCGATGCAGCTAAGTAGAATCTCATTGTTCGTATCTACCCACTATGAGTTACCATGACAACAAGTTTTTGTTTTCACTACATGGACGAGGCTTCTGTTAGTCTTTCGTCGACTGTTTTGTGTGATACACATTACATTAAATTGGGTTTTTTTCACCTCTGAAATGAATAGTCAAAAAGTACATATTCGTCACGTAATGGGAATTTTTTGGGGGGAATTTAAACAAGGTAATAGTGCCAAGGCGAGAGCTGACAAAATATGCAGTGTATATGGTGAAGGACTAATAACTGATCGGGCAGTTAGAAATTGGTTTATAAAATTCCGTTTTGGAGATACGACCTTAAAAGACGAACCGAGGGCGGGACGTCCTTCCGACTTTGACGACAACCTTTTAAAGGCAATATTCGAGCAAAATTCACGTCAATCAATAAGAGGTGTAGCAGAAAGGTTGAATACATCACAATCAACTGTCAACCGCCACTTGAAGAAATTAGGGAAAGTTAGCTTACTTAGGAAGGATACTTAGGAGTATGGGTACCTCACAATCTCAGTGAACGGAATAAAGAAGATCGCATGTCAATCGCCACAAGTCTGGTCTCACGGGTAAAAAATGAACCCTCTTTAAACAGGATTGCAACAGGCGATGAGAAATGGATTACCTATGACAATACAGTCCGCAAAAGACAGTGGCTTGATAAGGATCAACCACCCCTACCAGATCCGAAAGCAAACATCCATGGCAAAAAGATTTTATTGTGTGTATGGTGGGATTGTCAAGGAATGATTCGCCACGAATTGTTCAAGTCAAATTTAACGATTACTGCAGATAGATACGTTCAGTAGTTGCAAAGAGTACAAAAGAAACTGCATGAAAAGCGTCCTGCACTCGTCAATCGCAGAAACGTCATTCTTTTACACGACAATGTGCGACTACATAAAGCAAGGGTGACTCAAGAAAATATTCTTGAGCTTGGATGGTCTGTTTTACCACATCCACCTTACTCCCCGGATCTCGCCACGACAGACTACCACCTTTTCTGTTCTTTACAAAACTTTTTGAATGGAAAAACCTTCAATTCTGAGGAGCAAGTCAGGCAGGCTGTCAAAAACTTCTTCCAGTCTAAACCAACCACATTTTACAAGGATGGAATTGATAAACTCCCAGGAAGATGGGAGAAGGTTACAGATAATAGTGGTAAATACATAATAAATTAATATAAGTTTGTTATTTAAAGAGAGCAAAATAAATGTCTGATAAAAAAAACGGAAGTTACTTATGACTCGACCTAATATTTGGATATAGTATCGCATAAGTATCTTGCTAGCAGATACGTATCGCATACGCGTATTGCGATACGCGTATCGTCGTGTGAAAGAGCTCTTACTGTGGAATTATTTCTTGGTATACGTAGCAGTTCTGTTCCCAGAAATCCATGATATTAACAGTGAAGAATAATTCAGAACTCAATATAAGAAGACTGTCCTCTCTCACGGTTGCGATCTTCGTATTATCCATCGCTCATGGGCAATCTCTGCAACTTTGGGCAGTACGTACCACGTTTATCACGTCCAGATCCTTTTTGTACGTTCGCTCGGTCATCAGAAGCTCCTTCGCTATGTAGTATGCTTTGTCGGTGGGCCATCTCTGTTCAACCAAAAGAAAACGTGTATCGATCACATGGTCAATCTGGGAAGCTTTCTAGTGAAATTTTATTCGAATATATCCTTCCATTGAAAGCTAGCAATCCAATAAAACTGTACCTTAAGAACCCTCAAACCTGATGAGCACTACTCACTTTTGTCTTTCGAACCTCAGCGTCCTCGACGTCCCCGTTTCGTACTACGTGCTTCACAGGACTAAGGTCTGGCGTGTTCGCGAAAACGGAATTGTTGTTCTCCTGTTTCTTCGGTGTTTCCGGCTTGTTCGTTTTGGTATCTGTAAACGAAACAAAATAAGAGAAGGCGTTCCGGAGCGAGGCTGGCGTTTACAACCACAAAGAGTGAAAGAAAAAGAAACTATATGTGACGGTTTAAAAATAAATAGTAAGAAAGAAACGCTCGAGAGGAGAAATTATAGTAGTCGAGTCGCATGCTACGGTGCACGTGGATCAGCGTCTTTCGACTTCCTTTTTTTTTTTTTTTTTTTTATATGCTTCGTCGACTTTTCATCCCTGTAACGATGGGATTGAAGAAGAAGAGAAAATGAAGAACAGAGAGCGAAGAAAACGAAAAGTCGAGCAAGGATCGCTAGTCTCGTGGAGGGAGATCATTCGTTCTTTCTACGATACGAAGGCACAAAGTTCGTGGGAGAATGATCGTTCGGACGGAACACGTGTCGCTAATCTAGAATGGACGTGCAGCATTCGCAGATAACGGTGCCAAAAAGAATTTCTACCTTTCGGACGGAAACTCGGCTACGAGTATTCGAACGCGCGAATAAACATAATTTGCGGGAGATAACTCAGGAGAAAAACAATACTTTCTAAAACATTCAACACACCGTGGCTAAGACAATCACGGTGTTTCTCGAAATCGCAGATGGACATCCGGGTACGAGAATTATTTAAATAAATGGTCGGATAAATTTACTGTATTCGTTATTCGAAGGTCTTGAAGGAGCAGACAATATTTATTCAAAGTTCATTCTTTCGAGAGATGAAAATACTTTATTGGGTATCTTTATAAGCATTCGTATTCGAAGTTTATTCGTAACCTTCGAATAAAGGGGAGTATGTTTATTCATCGAATAAAAGTAACTCTCTGGTTATTTTTATTCGACGAATGATGGATAACATCTGTTCATCTCTTATTCGATACTCGAGATTCTTGATTAGATCAAGATTATGTCCATCTTCGTTCGAAAATAAAGAAGAACGGTTCCCGGCTGCATGCTGAAGTTTCGAAATCGCAAAACGTGTAAACTATGTCCTACGACGTGCAGCTACGTTTTTGTTCGTATCTTTTTTCGGTACAGCGTGTGCTTTACGACAAAATATAGTCCATAAACAGTCGGTGAACGAAGCCATTCCACCTTGCGTCCTCGGCCAACTACCAACAGGAACATGAATCTGGACTCGCGACACGCATCTTCGTTCGCTGAATGAAAAATTAACGCGGCGAAGCGATTGGGCCAATACAATTGCGTACTTGATCGAATATAGAAAGTTATAGAAAGTCGCTCAAAAAAGAATCTCGACGCTACTAAACATTAAGTTCTCCGTTGAATTTATTCCACTTTTATCTAATTTCAAAAAATACATTGTATTAGGTGGACTGGAAAGTAACGTCGTTTTTGCCATCCTTAATATTCGTTTATCATTTATCAGCTCATTGATTTTTCTGGCATCGAAAATTAGCACACTAGGTGACAAAAGGCTGCTGACAACGAGTGGAATTATATAATGAATTAAAGATAGAAATTTATTGGAAAGCTTGAATTTAATGTAAAAGAAACGACATTACTTTTCGGTCTACCTAATAACAAATAACATCGTTAAAATTAAATAAGCGAAATATTAAGTTGTCCCGAATGTTTCTTTCGCGAGTTGCGATCAATTATTTTATATGGTCGTGTTTATATAAATAGACAATCTAATTTCATAGATATTCATGTTGTAAGGGTAATGGAGCAAAGTGAATCGTGCACAATTCGGTAATGTAACATAAAACATAAACTACTGTGCACGTATTACTTATTGACACGTTGTTCGCCACGTCACCCATATATGGGTAACAGTGCTTTTCACTGAAAAACGAAAACTATTAATTCTGAAAGTTATGTGTCGTAGAAAATGAATTTAAATGAAATACTTGAATTTTGATGAAGTTACAAAACTAAATACCAAAATAAATGTTTCATTGCGCAGCTTCCAATAGTCTGTAAACAAAATTTAAACACGGTAGAAATTTTCTAAAGCGAAAGAAACTTTTGGGACGACCTGATATAAGCTAAATTAAAACTTTCATTCTTTAGTGATAAAAATGTAAAGGATGTTATGCAGCGCAAGTGGCCCAAGACGTTTTGCATAGTACCGTACGTACCAATACTTCCATGCAAGTATTGAAACATTTCATTTAAAAAATGCTACTTTATCGTCTAATATCGATACAATATTAGTCCCATCGCCAGTTCCACCATTTAGAATTATTTATAAATATTCACAGCGAATCGAGAAACGCGAGTCCTCGTCCAGATTCGCGAACGGATAAAATGAAAGGGTGCTGCTACCGGGCAAGTGAACAAATTGTCGAAACAACGAACCGCAAAGAATATCAATAATAATAATAAGAGTAATAATAATAATGTAACAATAAGAAGAATAATAATGATAATAAACATGTCACTGACAGTAAAGATAGGCACTGTTAGGGATTACTCACACATGGTATTGTCATCCGGCCGACCAACGAATCCGGGAGTGCGATAAAAAGATACGGTAATGAAGAACGGAAAGAGGACGCGCAGGGACCGGAAGAATACATTCTAACAGTAATAGAACTAAAACTCGAGTGAAACGAGAAGAAGAGCGGGACAGAGATAAAGAGACAAAATGTCGGAGAAGGAAGTCGACTAAAGGATCGGGAGTCGTATACTCTGCTAGCCAATCATTTGGAATTGCTTGATCGTTTTAATTAACACCTTAGCACGTTGGCTGCCAAGCTAAAACTCGTGAAAATTTCTATACGCTTGAAATTTTGTCTCGCGACTATCGTGGATTAGATAATTTAACATCACTCGTAGCCTTTGATTTTTTAACGTCGCCAAATTCACGAAACCTGTCCAGACTTGTTTTCATTATTGTCTGACCTTTGAAATTTATTTGTTTAGTTCCTTAACAGAAAGTCCTGTCACCCTAGGTGACATTCCTGGGCGACGAATGCGTTTAGTGGAAACGACGAGTCTGTACACATTTTCTGTGTGAAACGTTTGATACTCGATAAATTAGGCGTAGAAATTAATGTTGACCCTCTGGAGCCGAGTAAGTGTAAAAAGCTGTAATTTCGTTATCGGTACGTTTAAAGAAAAATGTCGAAGGAGAGAGATGAATAGTTCAAAGTGTCCTGTATTCGTAGGACCATGGTTTTTTTTTTAATAACGATGCATGTCCAATCGATAGTTACGTTACTTTTTAAAATAGAAATGCATATTTTTGTTCGCATGGATCGAATTCTTTTTGCCGTTCTACGTAAGAAAGTATTAGGGTGAAGTGGTAGAAGGGTCATTAGTTTACGAGATATTTTCAATAATTTTGCGTGACGAAGAAGATGCTCCTTCAAGCACGCGGCGAGCATGGCGCCACCGGTTTACGTCGTGGTATTCGGCTTTAATATAAACGAATAGTAACGATAGAGTTACATTATTTAAAGAACAATGTATCAAATTAAAGATAGAGTGGTTCACGTTGCCTGTTACAATTACGTTAATCGATCACTGCGATTCCAAACGTTTGGTTGGCAGCGTACAACGAAAGAGAAAATTCTCGGTAGAGCCCGAGAGAGCAAAACCGAACGTCGTGAAAACGGGTCTGAAGAAACGGAAACGTCATCAAACAGAAACTAAAACAAACGAAATCACAGAAGACCTCTGAACCATATATGACTTTGTATATAATTTATTGTTATCATAATTAATGTATCAATAATCAATGTACAATAGATTTCCTACGCTTGGAATGTCGTCTTCCCTTTCCTCGAACGCAGTGATTCCCCTTTTAAGAACTCTTCCCGCCCGCCCCCCAGTGTTCATCGAATCACGAATAATATCGAACAGTTCCACGTTTCTCCGCCAAAAGGGGAGGGGGAAATCACCGCGTATTTTTTTTTTTTTTTGTCGGACCGTATATATTTATATATATATACCTCATATGTATATATGTATATATGTATATGTATGTATAAGTTAGATATATGTATAGAGTTAACAAGTACGGTATGACGATAAAACGATCGAGAAAGGATAAAAAAAAAAAAAAACACGAATTACAAATTGTCGAGGAGCGTCGACACGACGGACACGCGTTTCATCTTCATCGAAAGCAACCCTCGCTTTCCCTCCGTCGTTTTCAACACCCGTTATACACCGATCGATCGTTTGTCCCCGCTTCGTATTAAGGCTAAGCAATGGGGGTACCGTTACGTGAAAAACAGAGAAAGGTGGTTGGGTGGAAAACATCTGTAAAAAGCATCGAAACTTGGAACTACGGTTCGTCCGGAAGAATTTCATCGATCGTCGAGAAGGTACGTTTCTACACACATTTTTCGTTCTACTGCCTCCTCGAAATCCGCCGAAACGGCATGTGTAAAAAGTTTATAAAAGGTATCTAATTAAAGTTCTCTGTACGAAAACGTTCCGTGGAAGACGAGGGTTTCGGGTATCCCCTTGTGAGAAACTAAACGTACCGTTTGCCGAACAAAACGTCCACCTGAACCGGAACGCGACCGATCGCGCAATACGAGACGAGAAAATGTGACCAACGTGGTAGCGACACTAGCTCCGCCAGTTGGGGAAGCCATTTTTGTTAATGCGCAAGTTGGATGCGCGGGAGACTCGCAGGATCGCAGAGTGGGCCGCGAACTTACAGTGACGGACAAAAATCCTAGGCTTCGAATAAATCTGAAGTTTTTCGACGTGTTTGTCTCGTTTCCTTCTTTGGAAAATGTTGAAAAGAGGAAACGAGACAAACACGTCGGCAAACTTCAGATTTATTCGAAGCCTAGGTGTTTTGACCATCACTGCAAACTTACACAAAGATATAGTCAAGTACGAATACTAATTGGTCACGAGTAGACTTCCGTAAGGGCTGGGTATACTCTTTTAGATCAAAACAAAAGTCAATACGATTATAGATAGGTAATTAGACTGCAGATGTTTACGCATTTATCGTAAACGAAAATGTGGAAGAATGTATGAGAATGTGCATGGATGCAAAAATATAT